GGACTGTAAGGACCGTAAAACTCGGCACCGATTTGTCGACTGTGTGTCCGATTCGTACCGATGCCGGGGGAATAAATTTGCTGAAGTGTCCGATCGCGTAAAACGAGGGCTGTTTGTAGGCCTCCTCCTTTGTCGGGTCTATGTTGATGGCACCCCCGTATCCCTTCTTATCGTTCCACCTTGGTCCACCACTCATGTCCAGAACCATGTTCCAATCCACCCAACCCCTCACGTAATTATTCAGAGTCTATGGACATACACAAAAATTATTGATATAACTTAAAGTCCAGAATATTCTGTACAACAAATAAGAAAAAGTATTCAAAGCCTACATTAATCAATCAGTACATAACTACTCTCATAGACTAGATAGTCTATTAATTTAGATTGTACCAAGCACACACACACACACACAGACTGTATATACCTTAATGATATCGTTGGCATATTGTTCGCCGGCACTCCACACCCCTAAATCGGGTCCCTCTATATGACAGGCCTCAGTGCTTAATAGAAACATATCGGTGTAGTTCTCCTGTATTTCCGTTGGGAATCCGTCCGGATATCCAACGTACCAGTGAAAGGCAATGCCCGACACGTATTTCGCTGCCTCCCTGTCCTCTAATACTGTCGGTACGAAATTCTCGAAGACGTTGAGATTCTCGTCGAATACCATTAGATTGAGTTTGTCTTTGCCATACCCGGCCTTCGCGAGGGTCGGACCCAAATTGAGTTTCACGAAATCCCGTTCCATAGGGCCGGTTAGGTTCAGACAGTTGAAGCCTTTTGATTTGGTCCCTTGAGTTGGCTCGTTCTCGACGGTAACCCCCCATAGGTTTATGTCATGCGATTTGTATGCGTCTAGAAATCTGTGGTAAACTCAACGGTTAAATGTTTTGATGTGTTTAATGCATATATAAAATTCAAACTACTTGACGAAATAGTTGGCCCACGACTGGTAGTACTCGCCCCCAACAGTACCCCTCAATTCCCCCCCATGATTGAACATATAGTTAGTCTTCATCCAAGAGGGGGGACTCCAGGGGCTGCCGAAGAGCTTTATTTTATGCGGACTTACTTTCAGCGCTCTTTGAATGTATGGGATCTACGGATCAGTTATTATGTATTAGTTTTGAATACAAAATACTGTTAAATAAAATCCAATAGTTTTTGCATACTTTCCACTCCAAGTCCTCCATCTGAAGAGCAAAGTGTTTGAGCTCCAGATCCCCGTCGACGTCATCGTAAGAGTAGGGTCTTTACGAGAAGTCTGTGCCAGCGATGGGTATTCTGGCCATTGAGTACTCGATGCCATTGTCCGAGAAGTAGCTATCAATCAGCAGATCAGCCAACAAAGGGTTGACTGTCTTCAGCATCTGTCCGGTGGTGTCAGTGAAAGCGCCGCCAAATCCAAAGATTGTCTGATATTTCTGTGTCTTATCGATAGTCACGACAACCGTTTGGTCGGCCGTTGAGTCGATGGTTGAGCCGAACTGGAGTTCCGTTTCCTTAAACCTTTCGCCGGCTTTATTGCTCTGTTAAACCGTTAGGAAACCACTCTTTGGGCGCTTGAGAGCCGGGAAGTCATCACAATATGTTGAGTTACAGACACAGACTGTGTCCGCGTCCTTCACTTTTCTTACGATACATTCCCGTCGGGCGCCGACTGTTTGTATTTAAAATCACTGATATATACTCTCAAAATAAAATTGCAATTAAAATGATATGTTTTCTCAGAAATACCGTTTATAGCGAAAAAGGTTATAACGAGTAAAACACTAAATATTTTATACATATTTGTTGTCAATACTTAAAATAAAATATAAAAAACAACACTTTTCGCTATTTATATGATTTGGTTTTTATCGATAACTGTATTTCTAACACAATTCTGTGATGTATTTTTCCAACCAACTCTTAATGTTATTTTCATGATATGATAGGTCTTATCAATTATTAAGCATTATAAATAATTTTCCGGTTCTCTATGATTGCCAACTGTATTTGAACCAGGTTCCCGGTAACTGCATGTTTGATAAAACTTTATAATCGTTTTAACGTTCTTAAAAATTTAGAATAGGATTTCATATAAACCTTGACAATTAATGTGCACATAATAAATACATTATGATATAAAAATTTATATTTAAAACATTTAATAAATTTAGTATATTGAAATCCCCTCGGTGAGTACATAAGTACATTTGATAAAGACAATGATTGTGTCAAATTCATGAAAATGAAAAGTCGGCCTAAGTTTACATCTGAACACATAAAGAGTCGATTGGATTGGGCAAAGAGACACATGTCTTATGGCCTCAAATGGAGATCAATT